TAGTATTCAATAAACATTACATTTCAAAAACTCTGTAGGCTGGCACACTTAGTTACCTGTATGACTGATGACGTTTGAGGAGATTACCAGGAAAAAAAAATTGAATTACAGTGCTCTTGGAACTCCTTAGAGTCTTTGCTCCCTTTATTTAGGTATTATTGAACAGTCAAAATCCAGTTTCAGCTGTTTACTGAATTTCATCTTTAGCTTCCTAGTGTCACAATGTTTCAGCATCAAATGCAGGAGAATTTTTAATTTTAAGAACTTTTCATTAAATTTTTAAAAGTAGAAATATTTCCAAAAATTAACACCTGTTTGGGGAGGGAAGTCAAATGCAACTGGAAGAAGCTTTTATCTGTATGCGTAATGTTTCCTGGCTGTCTAATTTTCTTCTTTTTTTGTATGGAGAAGTCTTGCTACGTTTTCAAGTCTATGCTTCAAGGGCAAGTAGGGTCTGTCATAGCAGATGTGTGAGGAAAGGATATTGTTTCAACAGTAAGAAAGGAAAGAATTACTTGTGGTCCTTGAAAGGAATTTGGCAAAGCTAAGGAAGCTTGTCAGATGGAAATTGGGCAGGATGAGGAACAAAGATACATCCCTTGCTGTGTTCTTCCTAGTGCTGTTTCCTGTCTTCACACAAGAGCTTCATCCTTTCCCTGATGTTCCCCTTGAAAATATCCAGTAGAGACTGAAGAGACACTGTATTGCTACTCTGAAATAGTGGTCTGTGTAATCAATTCCATTTCAGCTGCTGAATTTAAAATAAAATAAAACCACCACACATTGAATGGAGCTCAAATTCATTCCTTTTTTTAAACTAGAATGAGAAACAGGAAAAAATCCATATGCAGTTTTATGTTGCAGTGAACTTTAAACAAAATATTTCAGAGACAAGTAAAGGGAACAAAGTGCTTGAGTTGCTAAACTGATGGCAGCAATGTCTTCTTTTCATCCAGGGTGTTTAGAAATCTCGTGAGGGATAAGTGGGGCCCAGAATCCATCCTTTTCACTGTGCTTGAAGAAGTCTGAATCTTATTTTCTAACTCTGAAGAAAGTGTTCTACCAAAATGTCTTATCTGTGATTTTCCTGCAGTCGTTCTAGATTTAAAAGTTCATTTTTAATTAAAATACACCTCTCTTTTTCATAGACAGAGCTGGTTTTCCCAGGGCTGTCAACTACAGCCAAGAAATCTGCTGCTGTACCTGTGACAATGAACACATGGCCCTATTCTGTATTGACAGGTATACACAATGCTTTGAGAATTCTGAATTGCCCTGTAGATGGGTCAATCCTTAGTAGATACATGGAAGATTTGGTCTGATTTCAGGAAAAGGAGTGAGGAAATTCAGTGTGTGTTTGGTTGAACATCATGAGTAATTTTCTGAACTGCCAAGAAAATGAACAACTTTTTTGTTTTACTTCTTCAGTCAAGAATTAGAAAAATCTGAGCTTGAGAAACTAGACTCAAATTTAAAGCTGTCCATATATCCAGAAATGGGCAAACTAAGTTTCATGAAACTTCCATCTTCAAACCTACAGAGCTCTTCTGGCATTGAAGCATAGCACAATCTTCTGGACTGTTTCATATTTGCCTTAATTGGAGAGGTCAGAGCATGGGTTCTATCTTGATATGGAATCAGCAATCGTGTGCTTGTATGAAGAATTCACATCATGTTACGCGCTTAGTTTGCCTGGATAGTAGGAGAGATTTTTGCTTTAACAATCCGTCTTTTTTTTCCCCATGTTCATCCTAAATTGAAGGCCTTGGTGTTGACCTTTTAAAAGCAGAAGAGATCACATCTCTACAAAAGGTGTTGAAGTAACACCTCCTTAGGAAAAAGAAAAAAAAAGAAATAAATTAAAAACCAAACGCTGGCAGAACTGTTGCAGAACATGTGTTTAAAGGGCGTGAAATTATTTGCATGAGCACTTGTCACCTGCAAGTAATGGGTCATCCCCTGGGCTGCTTCTAGCCCTGCGGATGCTCCGGGGGAGCAGAAAATAAGCTTTAGAAGATGCTGATGCAGAGTGGAAAATGAAAAATAGAGTGGAAGTTTGTTTTTTCTCAATATGATGTTACTCCTGCTCATCCCAAGCACCCAAGAGAGACCAGACTTCTCAAAAATGTGTAGAGAGTGGAAAAATAGCAGGAAGAGAGATTATTCATAAACTGCCTATGGTTTCTTTTCAGATGCTCCTCTTTTTAAGCACTAATTCTGGCAATCCTTTTTTTCCTTTTCCAATCGTTGAACTTGTTTAAAATAGAGCTCAACCTTCAAATGAGGAAAAAAGAAAAGAGGTTGGAAGCACTTGATTTTTATCTACCTTTCCTGCTCTTCAAACTTTCTTCTCAGAAATATCAGCAAGTGGAAGAGAGCACTGGTCAAGCAGAAAGGCACCAATGAGAATGGAGACAACTGGGGTACTGTTTTCTGCTCTTCCACTGGCATGATGCTTGATTTTGGGAAAAATCAGTTCCCTGACACTTTTTTCCCTTATATAAAACAGGAGGATATAAATTTTACAGTGTTTGTTGATTGCTTTCAAATTTTCTGATGAAAAGTGCTGCTTAAGAACTACTCAGTGTATCATTGACTGCATGAACACTACTGAATCTGTAATAATTTGTCTTCCCCTATGTCAGTTTGGGATGCAGAGGAAAATTACCTGTTTTCCTCATTTCTCATTGCTTTTCCCAGCGCTCAGGACCCCAGGCCACTGATGTTAAGCAGCAGATGCTTTTCATAGATCGGATTAAGGGTTGATGAATTACCAGAGCCTCATGGAAGAATCCCACTGTGCTCTTGAAACTGGAATTACATTCCTGGTACCTATCTTCATGGCCTTGCATTTACTTTTAGAAAAATATTGCTAAAAAAAAAAAAAAAAAAGGAAAAAAAAAAAGAGAGAGATTTGGAAAGAAGGGAGGTAATTTTAAATTCTTGCTAACATAGAGTGTTCAATATGTCATTAAAGCCCTAATTGTTATTTAATATATGGATTCTGCTAAATAGCAGATGTGTAATTCTCCTAAGATGTTTTATAAACTATAAGAGGAAGAGGTACAATTGTTCACAAATGTTTCACTGAGATTGTTTTAAGTCAGTTAAAATTGCCTTTGAGAGCAGAGTTGCACTAAAAAGAGGGAGGAGAGATGGAAAAAAGAAACCCCAAAACAGGGTCCTGCTTGGTCTAGGGTTTCAGGCGAGAGAGGAAAAGGTCTAGTTATCCAGAGCCAGCTGCATTGTTAAAAGTTCATACTATCACTTTGACATTTAGAGTAGGACTCGGTGTCTTTGTAAATTCCTCTTCGTATTACCAGTGTAGGTCTCTGAGCTCAGACCATTTCACAAACCATAACATTTTTTAGTGAGTGATTGATCTGTATTATGTGTCCTAGCCATCAGAAGAATCTTGGGATGTTGCTTGTATAAACTGTAATACAATCTGATCTTGGGCATTTAGTTACAGACTTTCATAGACCTATTGGCGATACTCAGTCCTCCTGGATTTGGGAATAAAGCTTATCTGATACCTTAAAAAAAAGTGGGGAGGGGGGAGATGTTTTTAAAAAAAGGGGGGGGAGGGGAGAAGGAAAAAAATAAGCCCCTCATTTTCCCTGTTCCCCACTTAAATAACTCAACACATCTGGTAACACTGTAGGATCATTGTCCTTTCAGTTCCTCTGCAGCTCATACTGCTACAGTATTTCTTTGGTATCTAGTTTCCAAAAGGGCAATGTGATTTGACTTTTTTTTTTTTTAATTTTATTTTTTAAGGCTGTTTTTGTAGGTCTTGCAAATTAACCCATATGCATTGCAAGAAAAAACATGACTTTTAATCAGCACCATTTCTAAAGTTAGCACTTGCTCTGTGTATATGAATATGTATATGAACCAGTGCTTAAAAAAAAGAAAACACACAACCTTTCTGCTGGTACTCAAAGCTAGCATACAAATGTGTTTTTATTATCAAAGAAAGTATGCCTAAATGTTAAGGTACCTTTCCATTAGGGGTTTTATCATTTGACTTCTTGTCTTCAGTTACAGGAATGATAATCAAACTAAACCTTTTAATTCAATGAGAACTATGCTGAATTTTAGGAAGCAAAAAGAGGAATCAGATATAGACTCATAGCGTAGGAAATTAAGCATTCAAGAAATTAAAACTTTGAGAGCAACTAAAAGGCTAGCCTTAAGGTGTGCTTATTTGAAATGCCTGCATTTAATTTTACAATAAATCTGAGTATTTTGTTCCAATTAAGACAGTTCATGTGTATGACTTGAAATTGTACAGTAGTTCCAGGGAGACTGTGGACTGCTTGTTTTACATTCTGGATCAAGTTCAGATTTTTAGGCTTCGCTTGAATAAAATAAAAAGTCTGAACCCTAAAGATAATACAGATTGATAAATCTGATTTAAACATTCCCGTGTTGCAGACTTTCAGTGTATGTGGTACAGCTGAGCCTCAGGCCATGCACTAAATACATCCACAGTGCATTCCCAGGGCACCCGAATACCAAATGATCACATTTGAAAGGTTACCTTTCTATGGATTCTGACTTTTCTGTATTAGCCGCAAAGATTAGAATTTTAACAGCTCCCAATGAGAGGTATTGTGAAATATTTACTTGGCAGGAAAAAACCAAAACAAAACAAAGCCCAGATGAGATACCGTCTCATATTCATGAACTGGGATTTATTAGTTCTGTGAACGTCCTTGTGAGAATATGCTCCATAGTTCACACTTCAGGAAAAAAAGTCTTGGTTTTCATTTATATTAACTGAAAACTTTGATAGAAGTGTTATTGTAGTAGAGGTTTAAGCAAAGAGAGAATCATGCTTGTGCAGAATATATCCAGTAAATCCTGCAGCCTTTCACAACTGGCTTTCTGCAAGGAAAGTTACTACCGTTTCTCTCTGGAAATTTGGCAGTAGCTTTGTTAGGGAAATTGGTTATAATTAAAGATGTAAGGCTTTTTCTCCTTTTCTTTTACAGGTTGTGGAGCTCATTTCAAGTGCTATTGGTGACTTAGTTCAAGGTATATATTATGAAAACTCAAAGTCATCTGAGGTAAGAATTTCAGTAGTTTTACATACCTAAGAAGTTTGGTGATATTCATGTGTGACTACAATGAATATGATGACTCTCTCATCTGTTTAAGGAGGGAGAAGGAGGAAGAGAGTCCTAGTGAGTTTCAGTGGTAACATTCTTATGGTATCTGTGAACTCTGGTGAACCTTTCTAGAAATGCTCAACGAAGGACTGTTTTATTCCTGTGAGTGCTTAATAAAAGGATTTCATGTGTCATTACCAGAAGCTCTAGCTTTACAAACAATTCCAGAGGTTTCTAGTTAGGATTCTGTTAGAGGCACTTATTACAGTGTGAAAATACACTGTATTTAATGCAGTGAAAATATCACCGATATTTTCATGTTAAATTTATCATTTTCAAGCCCAAAGATGCTTACAAAATGCTTCATCCCAAATTTGTATCATGTCCTTTCTTCTCCTGAGCAGTCACATTTTGATAGTAGAAGCATGAATTTTGTCCTGGAATGGTAAGAGTGTAGCACTGTACCCTCTTCCACCAGAAGTCACTAGAATCAAGAGTGAATGAGGCTTGTAGCCCTGTACTCTCTTCCACCAGAATCACATGCATGGATTGCAGGAGTTGGCACGGGCAAAAACAGCAGCTGCCAGAGTTTCACACCAAATAATCTTGTATTTCCTCAAGGACAATTATGGATATACTATTACTATTTACTATTACTGTTACTATTTGGCAATGAAAATTGGTCAAACTAAACTTAGGCATTTTTGTCTTCACTGGAATATTTAAGGAAATTTGCAGAGACACTTCTTGAAGTAGGCTTGTTTGGGCAGGGCGTTGGAGTAAAAAGGCTTTCTTTCATTTGCTATGTCTGTATCTTAACACGTGCAAAAAATCTATAATCTGAAGTTGCCATCACCTTTCAGGTTTTATAATAGCAAGTTTTTGCTCACTGATGAGCAGTATGTGTAGGTGAATACTTATAGGTAGATAGGTACACTCACAGTGACATTGTCTCACATGCCTAGTTTGCCTTGGAGACCTGAATCTTCACATTCAGTAGGTGAAATGGCTTGAAGGTTGCAGAAATATGAATTCGTTTATATTCGTTGTGTGATTAAATTGCAGCTCTAGTTTACTATTGCCACATTGTAGTATGTAGCAAGATTAATATCATAGTGGAAGCCCTGATCACATGGGTTACCACTACAGTAGATACCTGCACTGATGCCTCTACACCAGCCAAACCACAGTGGCTGTCAGCTAACGGGCTGGGCCTTGGAGGGTGCACCCAGCTACTCCAATGGTCAGTATCTCTCTCTCCTGCTTTGCAGCAGCAAAGACATGCTATTAAAACTAACCTCCTCTAAGCTTATTGCTCTCATTTTGGTTGAAATCAGGTAGGTAGGAAATGATCATGTTAATGAGCTGAGCTCTTCCCTTGGAGGAGGAGAGAACCTCTAGCAGGGAAGCACTAATGGCTTTCTCAGGAGATGCTTGGGTTGCACACAGAGCATTCTCTGGCACCTCTCAGGAGGGAACCTGGGTGAAAGCATGGCAGCAGTGTGATGTTGGGAACTTGTTGGTCCTTCTGCACCTGCTGTGTTTAACCCATGGGTAAACAGACCTCAGCCTTCAGGGCTGCTTCCAAGTGCTTTTGCTCAGGGTTGTATGTTAAAATAGATTACTTCTTGGAGGTGTTTACAAAGAATATTTTAAGGTTTGTTTTCCATATTCAGGCATGTTTAAATACAAGTAGATCCCAGATGTATCGTCTTTTAAAAAACAACTACTCTTCTGTGTGTAGAAGTAAAGCTCTGCAAGTTCATCTCCACAGTGAAACTGCATTTTATCTTAACCTTGGTTGCTGTTTAAATGAAAAATGTGGATTCTCACTATGCTTCAGTGACTTTGTCTGTCTAAGGCGAATTGAAAGTACAGCATACCCTTTCTAAGGGGCATCCAGTTACCTCAAGACACAATTAGTATGGTGTCATAATAGATACTGAAATTTACATTACAGTGTTTGGAGTTTAATCTTTTTAATCAATAGTGCCTGGCTTCTGATGAGACCGAGAACAAGCAAGTATGGCATCTACTTGAAATCCACTTGAATTTGGTTTTTTTTTTATCTTGTCCTCTGGGAAATTTGGTTTCATGTTGTATATGAGACACATCCCTGCTGCTCTCCTCATGCTATTCTGTTGAGGCAGTGTCCTGTTCGCGTCCTGAACATCTCTTCAGCAAAGATAGACAAATGGACTAAGTCATTTGTTGGTCTGTCTATTTGTTTCCTTTGTTCATCTTATCTCTATCCTTAATTGTAATTTGACTGAAGCAAAAATGTGAACTACATTTCCTAGAGGTAGACAAATGCTATCTACTCCACAACTAAATCTCAAATGTCAAACATTTCTTTTGAAGAGTAGGGCATAGTGATGAAATGGCATTTTCACTGCTGGGAATGTCTTAAATTTGGAAAAACAGAAGGATACCTTCTCATTTGCTTTGGTTTTTTCTTTTCCCTTTTTGAGGCAGTAAAACTGTACCTCATGTGTTAAATGACTTTAATGCAATTGTTAGAAAGCTCCTTAGGACCATAAAATAGACTCATTTAGCACCAAGTTGTTTTGAGCTTTGCTAGATGTACCTAGATGGTAGACAAAAATACAAAAACGACTGCAAAGGTAACCTTTTTTCTCTGAGTTCATGTTTACCTCAGAAAAACCTTTCAGTTTGCTTCATTTGGGTGACCCAGTAGGAAAATGGAAAAAATCATTTGACCTAACAATACTGACCTTACTTACTCCTGAAGACATATAATGGATATAATTATTTGACAGCTCTCATTAGCACTTTTTCCCTTCTGTAAAACCACATGCAGTCCTACAGCCATCCCATTTTAGTATGTGCTGTTTGGTCATTCTTCATCTTGTCTGCATAGTGAGTCATTAGATCTGTGTGAAATGGGGAAAATAAAGATACTATTTAACTTCTCATCTTTATTTGAAGTGACAATCCCAAGTACAAAGTGTAGGCTTCAGTTGCAAAGACAGCCTGAAGGTTAGGGCTGCCACTCACTTTCAAAGTATCAAATAGCTGCTGTGGTTTAAGACATTGCATTAGCGATATTAAGCTAATATTTTGGACTGTAAGCTGGAGCAGAAAGGGGTGATGTGATAAACCTTTGCAGCTTTTTGTGCTAAATCCCTTCTCAACCCCAAATTCTGTGAGTCAGAGGCACTCTTCCCAGTTCTCATCGTTCTTTCCTAAATCTAGGTCTAATTTGGGATTAAAAATTTGTGCTTTAGTGAGTGCAAAGATGAAAGTTTTTTAATCTGGCCTTTATCTATTTTTAGCGGAAAAAACATTGTACTGAGTCTCTGTTCCCCACTTTTAGGAGACTGAAGGCTTCCAAAATGTTTGTTAGCTCACAGAACACTGTCACGCTTTTAGAAACCTTCTGTCTTAATATCCCAGATCATTTAATGAATATTAATGAAGAATGCTTTAGTATCCCTGTCAGTTCACTGAGCAAGAGGAAAGCCCAAGGTCAAACAGCAGAATCAAGAGCAGGACTTGAGTATTGTCTCTTGCGCTTTACCTGAAAGACCAGTCTTGCATCTTAAAGCCTTAGGGACTTTCATGGGAAACTGCTTTGTTGTTTGGGTTTTTTTCCTCGCCTCCAGCGTATCTAGCTGATGCTAAATTTACATTACCAAAACTCAGTGTCAGAATGTGACTGTTATGTAAGACAAAACAATTTTCAACACGTTCCACTGATGGCTAGACGAGCTGTCATGCATTTTTGATGCAATCATGTGAAAATTGTGCATAACTAACATGTAAAGCAAGTTTAAAAAATAAATACATTAGTGGCAAGTACTCGTACCTAATACAGGTCTTTGGTTTAGACCAGTTAGGTTTTCTTCATGAAAATAAGTTTTATTTCTGGCAAAGCACTGACTACATGCAGTGAATTGTATCAAACCTTCTTTGATGTTTGGTCATCAGCTCTGCTTTGAGGTGTAATGTTTTGGGATACTGCACATGTCCATCAGCTGGACTGCTCTGAGTCTGTGTTACAATTAAAGGATTTGCTTATAAATTTTACTATAGGAGGTAAATCAGATGTATTTTGAGTCACGTAAACCACCTTTTAGCAGTGCAGCACAGTCAGAGCCTTCACTTTTTTTCTTTTGACAAATGTTTCTGTTGCAGGACAAAAGGGAAGGATAAAATATGGAATCTGAGTAAAGAGCATCTGTGAAAAGAATGGGTAAATGTGTCAGAGGGGAAAAAAACCACCATAGCTAGAAAGAAGGCCAATGCTGTTTGTTTATTGCTTTTGTTCTTTTAAATACTAAGCTTTTCCAGGGAGATTTTAAAGTAACAGATGTGGAGAGATATTTCCATTTATTAGAAGGGTACAGACTTTTTTAAAATTGTGTGTTGCTTTTTGTGCATTGTCATGATAAAAGTATTAGGCACTCAGTGGCATGCTTTATTGACCCATTTGCAAACACCCTTGTTCCTCCAAAAGCAGTGAAGACATCTATTAAGAGACCAATAAAACATGGCCTGTCATACTCAGCAAGCAGGAGTACATCTGTTAAAAGCTTATGTCAATCATGTACAAGGCACTTTGCAGGGCCTCGCTGCTGGTAGAGATTCATAGTTGCAATGGATTTTATGTATGTAAAATAGCAGTTCTTGAACTACCTAATTTGAAACTTTAAAATGGTATTAAAAAATATTAGTCTTTTTCTATGGATTATTTGCCCATTGAGAACTGAACTAAAGTTTGGTGTAAGTGGTTGAGACATTTTGATCATTCTGTACAACAGCAGATGACTAAGAGCTGCCATGGTATGGAAAAAAAAACAAACCCCGAAATAAAGGCTCTCTCACAAACTATATAGCTGAAGTTTTACAATGAAATGGCTCTGACTCCATCCTGGTTTTGTAAATGGTTCTGTGCACTTTTAAGACATGGGTTTTGTTTGTATTTTCCTGAATATGTTTTCATCTTGAACTGTGTATAAGCGTCTTCTGTGGTGTGACGAATCAAACTGATTTATTGTAACTGCCACTTTTGTACTGGGGATCCTTGTTACCACCACTAAGAGCTGCCCTTCCTGATGGTTATGGTTGCATATTTGGTCCTGCAAATTTCATTTTCTAAAAGTTTTTTTGTTTCCCCTTGCCTGAGATGATTGTTTCAAACCCAATCTGAATTATCGAAGTAGCTTAACATAAAAATCTCAGCTAGCCAATTTCTTTCTAACAAAATGGTAACTGACCTTGCCATTAGTAAAATGGGAGCACCCTCAGCTGTTGTTAATTTCCTATAGGAAATGATGATCAGCAGAGCTGGATTTGCGTATTTTGTCAGTACTCCTGTGCCAACATTATCCAAACTGTATCTGGAGTTGGCTGCTTTCTTCCAGGGATGGTGAGGGGTTCAGCATTCTTAATTCAGTTTCTGCTACCCATGTGACATCAGGGTTGATTATCATCTGGACCCATTTCTTAGTGACAGAACTTGTTAATGCGGTCTGAGCACTGACAGTTACAGCTAGAATTAATTCGTGTTTAAACAGGCTTTGTATGAAAGGCTGGTAGGAGTCTTCTGGGCCAGCTAATGTCCACTTTTATATTTCATTCTTTGAGTCATCCACTGCTGACAAAAGAAAGTTTACCAAAATGGGAAAATTTCTCTAAAACTAGAAAGTGTTGTCATGATGTCAGATTTTGCAGACTTTGCAATCCAGAACTAGTTTCATTTTTCCCTTCATGTTTTAAGATAGTGTTTGGCTCCTGTCATACATACCCTTTTAAGAATGCAGTGTGGTTGGTGGACATTATATATGACATGAGACTTAAGCCTGGGCAAAAAAAAAAGGCATTTGGATTGTTGGAAAACTTTGCTAAAGCAAGGTTGTGTCTGCCTCTGCCTTCTTAAGCAGCAAAAGCTTTAGGGGTATGTGATCATAAGGCATTCTGTGATTAAAATCAACTATATTTTGGCATGCAAGCTTTTATGCTAAAGCACAGCCATATGGGCAGAATACCTTTTTACAACTGGCTTTGTTCTGTAACCAAGAGATGCATGATAGCTATGTTTTTAAGATTTCAATAACATATCCTTAACTATGCCTCAGATTTTTGTCTTTTTTTTTTTTGTTAGATACCCATTTTATATGCTTGAAGCTCCTACATAATGTTCATGTAGTGGACAGTAACTTCTTGTACTATAATTTTCAGTCCTGTGATGAAATTCAAACTTGTTTAAGAAGAATATGTTTTTGTAACAAATCATAGAATTAATTTCCATGTAGATATCAAGTTGCAATGACTGTTTAAACCTCTTTGTTTCCTGCAGTGGGCATTTGTTGATGTCCACGTTTCTGTTGCTACTCAGAGGCTCTAGCAAGCAAGCGTTTTCGACTTACAGGTCTTCTGAAAGATTTATTTAACTCCATAAATCGTTTCAGGATACCATTCTAGAATATTTTTGTCTTGGTTGGATTTAAAACGAATAATTATAAAACTCACTGCCAATTTTCAGTATCATCCAGCAAATTTGAGTAAATACTGTTCTTTCACTGAGCAGATTGGTTGTTAAGTGAAAGATTGTGTTGCGTCTTCCAAGAGCTCCTGATTTTAAATTTAAAATAAATTGATCTATATCAGGGCGGGAAGACTTGATATATGGGAAACTACTTGAACTAAATGCTCATTTTGACATTTTGCCAGTCCTGGGAATTTGCACATGCTCTGGGCTGAGTTAAGATATTAAAACAAATATACTACAGTAAGATGGAACATGAGGAAAGTTTAGGCTTGACTTTGTAAGTTATCTTATGCATAATAGCAAACATGTGGTTTCTCTGTGCCTCGCTTTCCTTGTATAAGTTAATAGGATGTCTGAAAGCAAAGGCATTTTGATACAGCCCTGTGTTACTTGGCATCGGAGAATTCTCCTACTTTTTCCATTAGTCTCAAATTATCCTCTCCCTTGTAACACAGCACTTCTGGGTGATATCCATAAGGGAGGAAAATTAGACCTGAACGGATGGATTCTATTTCATTTGTTACCGATTTCATGACAGATAATACCTTGCTAGAAAACTATAGGGTCACAGAATTAACTTCTTGCTCGTTTCTGAGTAATTTAATTGACGTCACTTTGAGGGAAAGGGCTTGTTATATAAGAGTCTTTTTTTATATTACTCCTTTAAAGAATACCTTTTGGCTTAGTGTATGCTATGGATTTGGCTGAACTGAGAAACTGCAAACATTTAATGTTTATATGCTTGAGATTTTTTTTCTTTAGCTTTTCATTACTGATTTTAGTTTTTTCGAAGCAAAACAACTGTGTCTTTTCTGGTTTTGGTTTTTTTCCCTCCTTAGAGAGTACCTAAAGGTGTGACAATAACATGCATATGTGAGAACGATTACAAGTCATGTCTCGCTTTGAAGATCCGTTCACAGAGTAGTGCCATTATTAACACCATGTGAGCCAAAGGAACTGCAGTTGAATTTGGGTTTGGGGGGAAGGGACTGGGTTTGTGTTTACTAAAACACTTTTTGGAATGTAATCCAAATCAGTATTTTGGATACAAAGGATTTTGAGAAGTGTTGAGCATCTCTGACCTTACGGTCAAGGTGGTGAAGTTCACTAGAGGCATCACCGAGATCTCTGTCAGTCCCCTGGGGAAGTTAATACCTGACATTTCTAAATTACAGCTGCTTGAGGTTTTTCTTTTCTTTTTTAAATGCTTTCAGTCATTCCTCATCCTTAATACAACAATAGAAATGGTACACGTCTTCATCACAGCCCTTCGGTTTTTCCAATGCAGTTCTACAAGGATTTTAATACCTTTTGGAATTATCTTTTTTTTTTTCTTTAATTGACTAAAAAGGTGATATTGTAGGGACTTCTAAATTTTATTAGGGTTTGTTGGCTCTTGGTAACTGGCAAGGAGCTGAAGCCCAGATGTACTCTGGGTTGGGGCTGGGTTTGGGGGAGAGGAGTTGTCTTTTTTTCCTTTTTTATGTTTTTCTTCCCAGTCCCTCATGAGGAATATAGTCATTGATAATGTTCAGTGTAATCATAGTCATTAAGAAAAAGATCTGTGTTGGATCTGTTGACAGCTCCATGTATTTTGCATTGTTCTTTTTGAGCAGAAAATGGGAATGTTGTTTGTTGAAGCTGCCAATATGTTTATCTGATACTTTTCTCTACTCATACCCAAAAGATACCCTTCTTTCTTTGGCACCATGGCACCCTGAGTTTTGTTACTCACTGCAAGTCAGGCTATCCTGTGCCACACTGTTAACTTGTGCGAGCTGACACAGCTGCATTTCTGGTGTTTTCATGTTAGCCTTTGTTTCATTTTCAGGAGAACTGTCTTACAGATGATATCTGCATATCCACGTGGAAGGAGCAGGCTTTCCTGTCACATAGTGCCTTGCTGGCAAAGAGCTGCCAGGCTGCAATGGAGCTAGCAAAGCACAGCGCTGAGATTCAGGACACGGCATTTCAGTATGGAAAACACATGTCTATGAGTCATAAGGTACTCCTTTTCCTTTTGTTCTGGGATCTTAAATATAGAAAGGCTTCTAAGATGTGTTAATCTTGAGCTCTGTTTTATACTGCCGCTATGCTGTAGACTTCTGGCAGCAGGTCAGTGACATTGAGAGATTAGACTGCTGACAGCCGAAGATGTTTGCAGAAGTTGCTGGTATGAACAGTGCTTATGAACTGGCAAAATCACACTCCTGGCAATGTAGTTTATTTCATTTAAGCTCTGTTAACATCCCTCACTGCATCTTTCCGTAGCCACTTACAACTTTACCTTCTCAGTTCCTACATTCTTCCTAAAGCCACTGTTTCAGTAGCAGGAGTTGCAGGAGGAAGCATGTGTTTGTTCTCAGCTGCCGCCATGCAGAGATTCATACTAAGAGGTTCAACTGCCTGCAGCAGCACACGAGCTGAGGCTTGTGTTGCAGTGGCCGAAGGGCTTGCATACGTTCCCTGATGAATAATCTTCTGTGGAAGTAACTTCCAGAGGGGGTAGCTGGAGGATGAACAGGGAGGTCACCAGATACGGACAGGAGCAGCCTACACCTCAGCAACAGTACGATTTCCCAGAGGAGGCCTCTGACCTCCATTACAAGTCTTTCTGTCCACAGCTACAGTTAATCCAAAGGAAAACACACACAGTGTGGAGTTTGGATCCTTGACACTCTTTATTTTGCCCTAAACATCTGTTCCTACTGTATTGCACTACTTGCAAATATAGATGTAGCTTGAGACAGGCAGACAGATTCAGCTGAGTTCAGACAGTTTCTAGTTCCTCCAGGAGAAGGAAGTGGTTTTATAAAGCACAGCTTTATTGGCACAGAAATGCCACTATGTGGTATTACTATATACAACTCTACCAGTAAATTGTTTCTTGTGCAGACTGTAATCTTAATATTTTGTATAAGCTTTAATATTAATACATTCACTATTGGCATATAGTTTTGTATGAAGGATTTTATAGTTTCCAGAGAAAACTCCTAGCTGTGTAACTTTTCCTTTGTCAGAAGGAGGGTCACATTTCATCAGCTTCCTCAGTTACTGAAAAGTAGAATGTATAACCCTTCACAGATTAAACCCTGATATTCTTTCCACCAAAGACTGTATCATTCTCTTCTTTGTAGTTTCCCTGCTTCCTGCCACTCCTGGGCTGTGTCCCGTCACTTGCCCAGTTCTGCAAGCTGTCCTTTACAAGTTTCTTTGCAGATTCTCTTACATGCTTCTCGTTACAACTTCCCGCTACTGCAGTGCTTGCAACATCTTCTTATCCTTCCCCTAAACTTGAAAAAATGCAACCAAAGTACAAGTGTCAAAGCAGAAAGTGGCGAGTAGTATAGAATCAGGATATGGACCTTCATTTGGTGAGTGGGTGGATATGTAATAGACTTGCTGGGAATTGAAGGAAGATGTTCTTCTCTTTCAGCTACATTCAGACCTCCAGCCATTTGTTAAAGAAAGTTCTACTGACACCGTGGCCTTCAGTTTGAATTCTGCTCCTGCAGTCCTCCATCAAGAATTCCTTGGGAGGGAGGCATGGATTAAACAGATCAGAGAGGTAAATTAAAGCATTCTGTAGAATTTCCTGGTTTTGGAGTTTGGATCTCTCTTCCTGTCTATACTTTCAATCTGCAAAGAAACTTAGAAATTAACATCAAACAAGACAACGTAGAGGTTACCTCTGCTTTCCAATACTTAACACATCTCTCTTTCATGCTTTTAAGAGGGGGAAATCTAGGGACGTGAAAGTCAAGCTTCGTCAAACTTCTATATGTCAGTGTAACAAGTGAATTCATTTGCATGGAGCATATATGTCTATTCTCTGCACTACTTGTGCAAGCCCACGTCTTAGCTTAAAGCTACTTTCACTGACAGCTTAAAGCAGAGAAGTTTGCATTACAGTTGGTTGAAAGGCACGTATTTCCTTCTGCCAACTTGGCCCTAGGAGCAGTATTTGGGACTGGGGAAGGAGGAGGGCATCTGGGGAACTTGGGTTACTGACCACTACAAAACATTTGTGAGATCTTGAAGTGAAGCAAACCATTTGTCATTTTGAAATTAAGGGCTGGTAGTTTGTAATGTGTGATGAGGAATTTTGGAATTCTACAATCTCAACACAAGGCTCCTATGTGGGTGGAATGTAAATGAATTTGGATGATTGCAGTTGGAGAGTAATGGTATTACCACAACACAGTGTATAAAAGCTTTGAAACAATTTCCCATCTGCAGAATCTAGAGGAGGTTGTAGGACTCCAGGAGTGCCGTCTGTCTGCTTGTTAATTCTTGTACCAAAAATGTGCATTATAGAAACAGTAAAGCAGTTCTTTCTGAAGGGGGTGGGGAACTGACATGAACTATGCAAAAGCATTTATTGACTGCTACTTTAGCTTAGTACATTTGGTACACCTTATCCAGGAGCCTTTCTTGGCTTTTGTTGATTTAGAAAGGAAAATTAGCTTCCATTAACTGAAGTCACATTCACTATGTGTCATTCAGTGTAGGCCAAGCACTCAAACCAGAGACTTTCTCGTGTTGGCAGTATTCATAAAGGTATGCTCATAAGTCACCCTCTTGTGCAATGTCATTTATACAGTTTAAATAAGCAAAGCATGCACAATGGACTCAGTCTCTGGCAGGTAGAATTGTTCTTAGTAGCTCGGGCATATGGAAATCACATTATAGACCTTTAATTACTGCTAAGTAATCTGGCTTTCTCCTTTAATTGTTTTCCCATCTAAGCATTCATACAATGGATTAAAGGCATCACCTCATCTTAGCAGCTTCCTTCTCCTACAGGAAGTTTTTGAAGTTCAAGAGAGCCCCATTGCACCTAGTAGCCTCCACAGGGGTACACGGCTCTGAGAGCATGTGGCTGGAACTCAGTGCCTGTCATGCATATCTTAGATGAAAGCAGTTTACAGAGAGCTCATGAGGGATGTCTGAACTTCTGTGGAGGGCCCAGAATTTTTGTGATTGTCTCACCACAGCTCCCATGTCAGAGGTCTGGACACAGTGGTTATTCCCAGGGTAGTCTTTGGACCTTTCTGCTGCTGAGCTGAAGACCTTGTCTTCAACCTCTCTTGTCTGTTCATTTGGAAAGAGCAAAACACATCAGATATCCAGGTGTGGGAAGTTGCATAAACATTAGATATATGTGCTTTGAGAAGGTCAGATTCTGATTTGGATGAAATTTATAGACTCCCTTAAAAGGGACTTGGGATATGTATAGAGAGAAGCCTTGTCATAGGAGGAAAAATAATGTCTAGGTATATGTGTGTGCATACGTGGATATATACATATATATACACACACACTCCCATATATATATATATATATGTACACAGGAATGGATGATCCATTAAGACCCAAGTTTCTCTTGTTCTCACTGGTCTCACCACCAACACTCCCCACCTTTGTGAATTTAAAACTAAAAAGCCCAATGAACTGGAAGAAAGGCATTTATCAAATGTTTTGTCCAGCATTTCTCAAGTATAGGATTTAAGACATGTGAAAGGGACCATCGCATCTGAGAAAGAAAAGTCGATCTTGGAAAATGTCCTGAAAACCTGCTCCAAAAGCATTGTTAAACCTTGTGGTCTGCTTATCTGATGCGTTCTGAGTAATTTAATGGGGGATTCAGGGATCCTTTTTGGATCCTGGCAAGGTGAGTTGATTTCACACCACCTTATTTACTAATAATGAATGTAATGGTATTACTGTCCCTCACTACGGGCACATGGTGATCTTTGGTGTTCAGCAGGAAGGCTGAATTGAGTTGGCTGTTCATGTGTCTAATATGATTGGTAAGTAGAATCTTTGAGTGCCCCAAGTCCTGACCTTCAGAGTCTGAGCTCCCAAACCAAACAGTGAAGCCTAGAAAGTTATCTAGGTTTGGTAAGAGTGCACAGCTTTTGCAAGACAGGCTTAATACCTTTGAGGAAGCTAAACCAGATGCAGAAGTCTGATGTAAAAGGGAAAAAAAAAACCTGTGTGTCTGAGATTGGGGTCAGTCAAAAAAGCCAAATAATTGAGAGGATAAAAAGAAAGAAAGCAAAGGTGCAGTTGTAGTAAAGAAGGCTTAGGAAACAGATCAGATAAGGCTGCTGCTTGGAGAAGCACAACTGCCATTGACTTAAATTCTTGAGAGAATCATAGAATGGTTTGGGTTGGAAAGGACCTTAAGATCATCCAGTTCCAGCCCCAGTGCCGTGGGCAGGGACGCCTCACACTAGACCATGTTGCCCAAGACTCTGTCCGACCTGGCCTTGAACACTGCCAGAGACAGAGCATTTATCACTCCTTTGGGCACCCTGCTCCAGTGCCTCACCACCCTCACAGTAAGGAACTTCTTGCTGCTTGTAATGTCTGTTAAATGGAGGAGATGTCACACTGAGCACACCTTTCCTGGTATTGCCAAGACTAAAAAGCACGTTCCTCTAACAGGTTGGCATATTCTCCAGTGCAGTGTGAATCTGCATATAGGCAGTCATTTGTTAAAGAACATACCTGTCGTGTTTTCTGATATACAATATAACTTGCTAGATAGATTTTGAAGGTGTAAGATCCAACCAGTATGAATAAAAGTTGGCAAATTGAGGCGATGAGAATACACAAATAAGGAAGCAGTTACTGGCAGTGGTTTTACTACTCCCAAATGCTATCAGGCTTTTTCTTAATATGCATTTCAGAAAAGCTGACTCTTAAGAAGCTTAGAGAGAGTACTAAAGAGGTTTTGTGGATCAGTCCCCTTTCTCCTTCAGAGAAATCAGTTTTGATGTTTACTGTTTTCCTTTCCTTTCCACTTGCTCAGTCTCTCATCTGTTCTTTTCTCTGTGCTTCCTCCCTTACAAAAAAATTAATTTATTTTCTAAATCTGTGCCATCTCAGTAACATCTCTTCAGTGCTGTGCTTGCCACACAGTGTTCCTCTTCAGTGCAGGCCTCAGCTTTTCTCCTTATGCCAGCTCAGCTGCTGCCCTTGGCTGCTCTCTGAAGTCCCTACAGAGGACATGGAGAAGCGTAGTGGTCCTAATCTACATCTTTTCAGGAGACGTGTTCCGGAAGAACTGAGGTTTGTGGTCTTCCCTTGTGGAGGCTAGAGGAAAGGAAATGGGTGATCTTTTTTTTTTTCTCAATGTGCCTTAAAAGAGAAGAGCTGGACTTGATGGAGGTGATAATGATAAAGGAAGATATAACCTAAGGGAAGGGCTTCGGGCTGGTTGAGAAGGAATGCTCTGCATCTAGCAGACCACCGCCACTGGGTAAGAAAGACAGACATCTTCTCTTCTACGTCATCTTGTGACAAAATTGAGGAAGCTGGACCACATACTTTTCTGCATCTGGGCAAGAAGAAACTTAACATTTGTTCATACTTCTTTCTGAATGTATTAGAAGTTACAGGTTGTGTGTATCTGCTACCTACGTAAAGAGTAACGCTAATACTTAAATACAATTCTAAACCAAAACTGCTTCTAACCTAGGTCTAATAGCACTGACATGGTCCTGATATCCCCTTTGGACAGCTCTGGGTTATTACCTGTGTGCAAATCACTGGATATATGAAGAGTACTCTCTTAAGATAATAAGTCCTGTTATTGCTGGTAAGAAAGATAGTTTATTTTGGACTCTCATGGGAGAGATTAATTAATGCAAACAGCAAGATTTCTTAAGACCAAAACATTTTGAATTCAACAAATGTTTAACCACAAGTCATGATAAAAAACCTAAAAATTGCATTGGGTATGTGTAGCTCTCGTCTGAAACAGAACCATGTTGTATAAGCTGGTAACACATTTGGTTGTGTTTTGTGGGGGTTTTTTCCGTAGCAGATTCCTAAAGAAAGTCGGTTTAAAGTAGCAGCTCTTTTAATTGCATTCTTTATTCCTGCAGCTTTAGTCAGTAGTATATAATGTCTTAACATAAAATCTCTCTTTTTCTCTTCAAGGCACAAGGAAAAGGAAATATAATGGACTACAAGAAGGTTGGTAAATTGCATTTAAATCTCATTATTTGTAAAGCTTTTATGTAGTATTTCAAAGATATTCTTGACAGTTGAGAGCAACTTTCTAAAGTCAGTTTATAATTTGTGCGAGTGTATACAGAGGCAGAGAAAATGGCTTGTGCAATTTCTTGATTTTAAAAAACCAGTAGTAGTGGGCTGTACTATAACTATCAAATGTAGCTATGTAATAATGATGTTTGCCATTGTTTATCCCATTTACTTCCCTAAACTTGGTTTTGAAACCAGGCTTCTGATGGCTTTTGCCGTCTTCTTTTTCTGCAGTTATTTGTGGGTTAGCTCCCATCAATATGCTCTATGTATTGATAGAGTGTGCAGTTACTTAATCTCACCTTAATGCCATGCCACCTATTAAAAAATATACATACATGTTTTATAATCACATGTTTCTTCCAGTTCCCATTATAACTTTGAGTTAGGTCACCACTGTATTTGCTACTGGGACTGCTCTATAGTAAAGGCAGACCTGAACTAATTAACTTGAAAGCAGCTGGAAAAAAGAGCTGTAAAGCTCTTGAGAGCTGCAGTAGATGGCTCAGAAGATTCCTGGTTAAATACTGGAACACAGCTTGCTTGTGGTGGAGACAGGTGACATTGTGTCCCCAGCTAGCTCCCAGAGTACAAACATGACTTGTTTGCAGTCTTAAGCAGATTATGAGGGTCCAGTCAGTTATCTCCAGCATCATTGTGGAAAATAATATATTAATTATTAAGCCTCATGCATGATTGCTAATTGCTTCTTGAACCGGGACCTGAAGTGTTACAGCTATCACGGCTAGCATGGAAGGCTAGCACACAGGTACAGGTCAGACTGTGCCTGTAATTACTGTATTAAGAAAATATGTAATTTGGATTATTAAAAAAAATCTCTGTCCTTCCTTTCTCTTAGAACATAGAAAGGATCTCAGCCTAAATAGCTTGCTATTTAAAATCATTATGCCTTTATTTTTTTCCTGCAATAGAAGAAAACTGATAGAACTGTGATTCTGTAAATCACCACTGAAAGCACTAAATTTCTTCTTCAAATATGTCTGAGACACTTCTGTGAGGTTTAAAATGAGCTACTTGCTTTCTTATGTCCAGAATGGGTTTTCTCCTTTAAATTGCTACAATTGTGATCCAACCAGTGTCATTTCCATAATTAAAAAAAGAAAAAGGGGGGGCAAAGGAAGCACCTACATTTGCTTCACTGGGTTAAATATTTGTTAGCATATTCTGTATTTTGACTGAAATTATTTCATATTTTGGATCCATCCATGAAATTTTAAAAAATATGGTGTGCTTGGGCAACTTGGACACCTGAATAAAAGGAAAGGAAGGGGGGAAAGCCCTTGAAGTTTTGTATTTTGAGCAACTGACTTCAGCCATAAAGCATGTGATTTACTGGCTCTGGCTAATTATCTCTTACACGAGCACAGATGATACAAATTTAGTAATGATGGTGAAAAATTCTCCATGGTTTTTGTGAGCTCAAAATAAATAAAAAAAATAAAAAAAAAATCAACTTTTGTTGTCACAGAAATCACTTTCAAAAATCTGATGTTAAGTCCCTCTTTTCTGTCTTTCTTTGTTTAAAAGAAGTGATCATTAGTTATATCCATGCTAAATGAACCCAGTAACCTGTAGCTCACCCTGGCATAGTAGCTTGACCAGTACATGCACACAGCCAATTAGAAGCCATGTTGTGCTGTACAAACTAGTATTTCTTTTTTGCCCTTTGCTATAATGTCTTTATTTCTGCATCACTAGAATCAGTGTTTCACACATTGCTTAGTCTTTTCTTCTCAGTATCAAGGGCCCCTCTCATCTTTCTGTTCAGTTGCTAGAATTACTTTGATGTTCCTAATCAAATCTGGGGGCTTGTTTCTCATTGAGTCTGCAAGATATCTCCTCTTTCATTTTGTAAAAGCAAAGGTCACCAAATCTCACTGTAGAAATTCTGAAAGTTTGTATTATTTGGAGGGGGGGAGGGTGTACTTTTGTAATTTATAATTTTGTAATTTGTATTATTTTTTTTCTTTTAATTTTTGTTATGAGCTTCAGTGTACCACTTAGTTGAGATAAGAGTGTTATTCCTTTAGTTGAATTCATAAATACACGTATACAGACATCATTAGCTGTTTAGCCTGCTTAAGGATATGTACTTGCTATGGTTTTCAATTACAGTAATGAATGAAGGTAAATTTGAGAAATTGAGATCCACCCGTTTAACTTGCCTCCTTAAAAGGCAAAGGTCTTGTTTTAGTTCAGTTCAGTTCTGCTCCAGGATTTTGAATTGTTCTTTTGATGTACATTATATTAAAATGGTATCCCTGTTTTTTCACAGACAAAAAGATACCTAGATGGTAGTAGTAAATTAAATGAGGGCTCTGACACAAATACAGATGTGAAATGCTTTCTATTAATTTAAGGTCTGAAACTGTCATGTCAATAAGGTCACCACATTCTGCAAAAATCTTTTAGTACTTTTTTTTTCTCCCAGCTTTTCTCAAATCCTTTTATCAGAAGGACTTTGGTATCAGAAAAGCCTTATTTTAAGGTCTGTGATTCTTAATATTTTTTTCTCACATTCATATCTGAATGTTTCACTCTTCCTTCCCTGTCCTCCTCCGCCCTCTCCCCTCTATCCCCCCCATTACACCACATCCACATTGATCCATCATTGTGGTGTTTGAAAGCCTTTACCAGAGATTAAAAAGTAGTTTCAGCTCCGTTTTAGTGGCATTTCTCAAATAACAAAAGAGAAAGTACCAGTATATGGCAGGGACAGAATTCGTGTATGTCATTGAAAGAGACAGTAACTTTCCTGTCACCCTCATTTGTAAGTCTTATTTTGGCAAAAATCTCAGACTTTTAAAATCAAAAAGCGTTTATCCATTTTACATCTACTTTGCATGCAAGATAAGCTGTGTAATTATAAAACAATAAATTGAGATTCTCAATTTAATTGTTACTATTTTATAATATTGATTAAAAACTCTTCACTGAAGTCAAGGTCTTAATGGTGGTTGGCATTATACAGACTTGTTAAATGAGTGTAACAAAGGCACAACTAGCACCAGAAACGAGTAAGCTGGGAATAATGCTTATTTTCTGGCCAAAGCTCTAGAATAATTAAAAGGCTAAATAAAGAAATAAATCCTGTGTTTTGCAGCCAGTGAATATGCTACTGCAAGGATTTGTTGGTTTTCTAAATGAATATTCAGAAAGGATGCATTGAGTCAAGTGAAAGAGGACAGCAAAACTTTATTTTTATTGTAGCTCTGTCCACTTGTTCTGCTGGCTCTTATAGAGGCCTTTCACCCGAACTGGCATGGGAAATATGGTGCATCAGCATAGTATGCTGTTACATACTTTGCTTTGTATAATGAAACACTGTGCATGACAGCAGCTTTTGTACATTTTGTACTGGAAGTAGCATGAGTCAAGAAGCTGTAGATCCAGCTGTTCATACACTGCATGGCATTAATGGCTTCAGTTCCCATTTGGTAGGCAAGAGAAAAAGAGGGTCACATTTGGAAACAAGGAAGTTTCTCAGTGACACCCTACTGCCATGCAATTCAGCAGTGACACAGTGCCATCCAGTTGTGTTAGCAAGAGTCGCATGGCTCCCCTTTCCCAGCTCAGCATTGACCACCACAGTGCATTCATCCTCCTCCAGTGCTACCAGCAAAACAGGTTTACAGTTACAGGTGGAAATGGCAGTAGCCGTGTTTGTTTAAATTCCAGAGAATCATCATGAGATGTGTCATGGGACTGTAGGCCAAAGACACTTTTGCTGCTGAAATGCAACAAGAGTTAAAACCAAAGGATTGGTTTTTGCGGGTGCTTATGACCTGTGGTGGTTTTCCGTGAAAATTTATCTCGTTTGTTTTGGAGCAACCACTGCCACGAGTCCCTTTTTTTACATATATTAAAAACAAGCAAACAAAGAAAATTGAGATTTACTGAATATAGGGGATTTGATATGTTATTACCAAAGCAGCCAAAACCATTCAGAAGCAGCAATTTTCTCCTTTGTTGGAATTAACCACATCTACATTATCAAGGTGGACATCCAGTACCAAAAATCAGCTGCATCTTTGTTTTTAATGAGTATTTTCCATAGCTTTTTTGGGGTGAGAATCCAGCACAGCTTTTGTTTCATTAGAGCAAATCACATCTTTTAATATAAGTACCAAGTGAATTGTTTGTGTATACTAAGATGACGATTAACAATCTTTGCCTTAATCTGATTAAAGAAGTTCATGATTTTGGGGTAAAAAATCATCACTTCCCTACCAGTTTAGATTTAAAAGCTAGTGGGCCCCAGTGGGCCTTGTTAAGTTCACGGTGTAAGACATGGAAATGCATAAGGAGGAGCTGTTAGTGTCTCTTCTAAGATATTAAAGGGTCTGTACAATCCCTCATTGTCTTGGGATGACTTGTAATTTTTTGGCCACATGTATCCCAAGAACTGCATAACAGCTGGAGTAGCAGCCCTGTAAGCAGCCCATCTTTCCTCAGCTGTTGGGGTGACTCTCCAGACTTGATCTTTTTCTGGGTAAGGTGTTTTTGAGTTTGAAATAAAAGGGAGTTTTTCTGTTTGTCAGATGAGTAAAAAAAATACAAATCCTACTCTGCTAATGGAAGTTTCTGCAGGGTGTTTTTGCCCTTTAAAGATTAATTTCTTTTCCTTTTGTATAGAAACAGATTGTAAGAAAGCATTGGATAAATAGTGTGTATCATGGTGCATATAGCCAACAAAGACTTAGGAAAAAGTAATCATCATTTGACATTATGAAGTAATGTAATTAAATGATTGTCCAGCACGTTTTGAGAAGGAAGAGCATAACCCTCTGTCCAGCTACAAAAACCGTAAGAGTGGATGCTGAGACATTCGAAGGTACTTACAAAACAAAGGAAAAAATTGACAAAATTGACCTACTAGCTGTGAAACGTTGGTACTCAAGGTAACATTTCAGCAGCCTAAAACATTAGTACATATTGGGCATAATGTTCCCATAAAACAGAAAACAAATTTAGAAAAGCCAGTGCAGAACACTGCAAACTGAGCATTATTCACTCACTCGGTCACAGGTCAATTTAAATACTGTGTTTGGGTCTGTGCTTCCTGCAGTATGGCAGTGTCATTCGCTTTCACTTTTACTTTCACTGCCCAAAATCGGGCACAGAACTCCAGACACAGTCCCACAAGCAGTAATTGCTTGCTGAATGCACTTGTTAATCAGCCCAAGAAGGGCTGATGATCTTTGCTGCGAGGACATGCTGCTTCAAGAGAAAAAAAGCATGTGTAGATAACTAACTGTGAAGGAAAAAGAGTGTAATTGAACCATCAGAAGAACAGGATGTGGACCTCTTGGTCTGTTGGTCATTGATTAAGACCTACTTAAATGTCAAATCCGCTTAGAAGTAACTGCTGTTGGATGACCATGTAGTACCCTATGTGAAAGCAGCAGTTGGTTTTGAGATTCACCATCACCATTTTATTACTGTTTGTGTATTTGTAACAAATCAGTACAATTTAAAAGCTATGTAGATCCTGCCAAGGTAGTTAATCCAAATGTAGAATCTCATATGAATCTGCCATATATACTTAATTAAAAAACCCCAAACATTAGTGCCACAAAGTAGGTGCAGGAACGCAAGTTCACTACAATTGTATATATGGTATGAGCTATATGGTATGACATAGACAGCACAGGCTTTCTTTTTGTTATTCACTTAATACTCCACTGCAGGACATAATTTCTCAGTTTCAACATCTTCCTAGCTCATAAACAGAGAGATGTGGCACACAAGCACACTCATTGCTTTTATGGTGGACTTAGAAGGTAAAGTCTGTGAACAGGGATGTGAAGTTCTCATGCATGAGCATCCCTCTGATCCCACATGTACGGCCAGAACCACAAATGGACTATATATAGTTATATGGCCATTGCTTGAAAACTGCTTTTATTCCATACAGTAGTGTTTAACTTGAGAGATGGAACCAGCCATGAGACGAAGGTCTTGAACCCTGATCCCCCTTTACATAGGAAGTAGCTGCTGTCCAGGTTTTGGTTCTGTTCTTGGCCCAGCAAATGTTACCGTTGAGTGGAAGATGCCCCAACTCCAACTATTTGGTGCTTATGGTTGTCTCCTGAAGGACAGGAAGTGGTAGCTTGAAACTCCTTTCCAGTCAGCAGTCTCATTTCCAGAGGGCGATCTTCAAGCAGCAATCAATGACTTGTTACCATGGATTTGCAGGATATGCCTAGAGCATGTGGGTGGAGAGGGAGATAGTGGAAAGCAGCCTTAAAAGTGGAATTGCTTAGAAAGTGTCCCTTTCTCCTCTTTGTTTGCCAATATAAAGTGACTGAAAAGAAGGAAATGATGAGAAAGAAAGGAGGAGGCTGAAGAACGAGAGCCCAGTCTCTCACTCAGCAGTTTGTCCTCCTGTGTATATACAGAGCATTCAGAATGAGAAACCTCAGCACTTCCCTCCTTTCCATATCTATTGTCTTTTGCTCATTCTGTAACTCTTCATCAGAGCTATTCCTTTTTCCAGCCAAAGACTAGCAAAGGAGGAAAAAATGAAAATCATTTCACTGCAGGACAAGTGGATGAGGCTGAGCTTGGGCAGATAGAACAGGCCGGGCAGAGCAAGACCCAGCAGTCAGACCAGGCATCTCTTTTCACAGACTAGGAAGGTAATGATATTGCTGTTGATTTTTCTTAAATTTCTAGAACTGCCATCAGAGATAAAAAATTTGGGGCTCTGAGCTTGATGTGTACAAGGTAAACCTGTCAAGTCTGGTCAATATCTGAATATATTGAGGAAAGCAGAAGGTGCCAAAGGAGAACAGTGCCGTTATGTTGGGGGTGGCACTTCTCACCCGAGCCTTAACCTCACTGTACTGCTGCAAGACTATTCTTTAAGCTGAGTTTAAATAACCAAAACCCATGGGTGATTTTTTTTCACGCTCTTGGCACCTGTAGAATGAAGTAAGGCTTTAGTGCCAAGAGTCTGAACAAAAGCTTAAAAGTTAAAATGCAGTATTCCAACATAGCTAGGAGTGCAACTGGAGAAACGTGTGTTGAAGCAATCTGTGTTTTGACTTGTGTTCAGTTGTAATGACTGAATGAAATCTGAAGAAGGTTGTGTTTTAATGATGGATGAAACTGTTCTTACAAGTAGAAATATATTTGAAGCACAAAATGATGCCGTATAAGTAGAGACTAAAAGAGCAGATTCCTTTATTTAGAAGAAATTAATGAGGGAGCTTAATTAATGTTTATAAAGTAATAAATAAAAGCAGCTCATTTTGCTTTTCTGTATATTTGCCTCAAAAATTAGCTGCTCCTCTCCAGAAGAAATTACAAAATAATACGTCCAAACTGGATACATTGCCTTTTTTTTTTTCTGCCTACTTAGTTTGTCAAGTTCATTACATAAAATCATTGAAGCTCAAAAATTAGGAGAGTGTGGAAAATGTCAATGTAATACAACTAACAGTACATCTTACAGCTTAAATTAGGGGGGTTTTTGCATGTAGCAGTGCTACTGAAGCCTGGTTTCCTACGGAATTATACCCTGTGTTTCTTCAATAATTATTCCACTCCAAGAAGCCCAATTTGTAGTCTTCCCCCTGCCTTTCCTTTTGCAACCCCAGCTGAGATAGAAGTAAGCGTGCAGTCTGGGTAATCCAGGCTGTTTTGCCTCTGTGTATGCTTATTTAAGTTGACCAGCTGCTTCTGCAAATGGAAGAGAAAACAGGGAAGTTTTTGTGGACTATTAATTAATGAATGAATTGTTAATGGACTATAATTGCTAATTTTTCTAACTGAGAAGCTGGGGAAGGAGCTTGCCACATGAGCAGGTATTCTTCATTTTGAGGTTCCTTAAACTTTGCTTTGAAACATTCAGTAGCGGATTAGCCTGACTTCTTTTGTAGAGTGATTCTTCTGCATATAGTTTGACACGAGCTTTGTGATTGTTTTGGCTTCAAGGCACTGTGTGTGTCCAAGGGCTACACAAGACAAGCGTGTAAATGGATTGTGTCCTTGCATTAGAACTCTTCCCCTTCCAGATCTGGTGTTATGAGTAAGTCTTAAGTACATATATGCAAACACACACGCTTAAACTAAGCTCCTCTGACCTTAGAACAGTTTGAAGACATTTTAGGGGCTATTTTCTTTCTTGTTTATGTCTCAGTGTATACTTACATGAGTATTACAAGGTATACTAAACCTTTTTAATGAGCTTTAGCAAATCAGCAGAGGGTGCTTGAAGGTGTGTGGGTTCTATCATTTCACAAACTTGTGCCTCAAGAAAGGGGAAAGAAATGCCTTTTTACACTGCTAGTGTACCTCATCTCACCTATCCCCACCTTGGCTGTGGAGCTGTGGTGAATGGCTGATTCCCATTCGTTAGAAGACGTGTTGAGTTAGCTATGCAGTGCATTTATGCCCTAGGGCAAGTTCCTTTCCAGAGCACAGTGCAGGAAGATTCTCCACTGAAGTGGAGAGTAAAATTTTTATGAACTGGGACTTGAACACTCAAGTGCTGTAATATGCTTTCAGCTAATTTCATCTTTAAATACAGATAATGAATCCACTTCAGTTTGTACTCAGCTAAGAAACGTCATTCTGTATGAATGCAAGTATCTATAAAAAATGGATGACTTTTACAAATCGGTCATAGCTTAGATATTTCTTTTTGCATGATTTAAACTAGATTGATAAGGTTATACTGATGTAAATTAATCAGGGCATTGGGCTGTGTATTGGAGGAAAACATAATTTATAAAACTGCATAATTATTACTGTAGATACCTGTGTTCAAGAAAACCCCTTATTTTAAAAGCAGATAGGGTGGGGATGCAAAGGCAGCTATGAAAGCCAGGTGGGGCACATTAAAGATCATGAAATGCTGTCATGCTTTTGGGATAATTAAATCCCAAAGATGCACCTGGCCTTGATTCCCAGGCCCTGGTACGAGGTATCAGGCTGGAGCTGCTCTGGGACACCTGTATTTTAGAGCAGAAAATGCAACAGGGTTTCATGACAGTCTCCTGGTGCTGTTCAGGAAAAAAATAATAATCAAGAATAAAACCCCCTTAATTAATAAGTGTGATTATTATTTCAGCTTCAGCTAAGCTGAGATACTGGGAAAAAAGCAACATATTCTGTTTGTCATTTTTGTTTGTTATTTCATAGGAAATTTAACCTGTCCTTTACTCAGGTGTTTTAGGTGCCTGATCTTTCCAGCAGCTTGCCAGGAAATGTCTTTTATTCCATGAAAATATTTCCTTTCTCATATGGTGTATCACCAAACCATTGTCAGATTCCCTATCCGTTCTGAGAAGACTGAGTTTGCATGGATATAGCACAGTATGATCATTTAACGCATCCCAGTTTACTGACAAAATTTGCTTTTGTCCACTGTACCAAATGTAATCATATGGTATATAAATAGAAACCTGTACTACAAAAGACAAGAGTTCAACGTGTGTCATCTGTGCCTGTTTCCAAACCAGGGGGTGGACTGGCTGTTCATAACATGCAGCTTTTGACTGCAGAAAACAAAGAGTGCAAGCAAGCGGCTCGGCTGCCAGTTCTGCACAAAGCTCTGGGGCAGTGGCTGGGGTGTGAGATGCCCAGATATTTAAAAATGTGTTTCTTTTTTATTAACGGTGTGCCTTTTGGAGACCCAGCATCTTTCTGGTGGTGAAGTAATGGGTGTTGTAGTTTAAATTACCCATGGCTGTGGTGTAGCGGGGAGCCAGAGCAGAGCAGCCGGCAGTGTTTCAGAGCTTTGCTGGCTTTGGTTCTCACCTTTACCTCGGGAAGGGGCAGTGGAAGGCACATGCTCTCACAGGTAATTGTTCACGCCAGCCCTGCCGAAACCCACCCTGTTGTGCCTGTGTTTCCTGACAGCTGCAGGGAGCGATCAAGGCCGGCAAAGGTGTGACATCTGCCATCGACCTCTGCCGCTTCCACGGAAACCGGGCGCTGGCGGCCCTGGAGCGCTTCCCTCCCTCCGAGGCCAGGGCCGCCTTGGCCAACATCGTCTACGCCGTGACCCGCTTTCCCTGACCCACCGCCCCAGGAGGAGCTGCTCTCCCTCCGCCGGCAGGAGCACCACAACAGGGACCTCTACGGCACCCCGCACCGCCGGTCACCCCATCATCCCAACGGAGGGGTGCGCTGGCTGCCGCCGCCACCACCAGCACAATTTGGAAGGGGGGAGTTACAAGAAGGTCAGAGCCGGCTCTCGCTTGCCGTGCCAGAAGCACACTTGAGGCTGCACCGGCAGAAATAATTAATGAGTCCCGTTGCGTGACCTCAGCAAATGGACAGGAAATAAGTCGGTATTGATTGGGCACCGGCGGGGACGGCGCCAGGGCGGAGGCCGGTGGTTTTCCTGCCAGAGGGAGGGATGTGAAGATCCAGGTGTCACAGGAAACCTGCTCGAACCTGCCCAGGGAGAGCGAGCTGCCGAAGCCGGGAATTAACACAGCCGCTCACCAAGTGCCCTGGGAAGGGCAGTTCGGGGGTTAACGGGGGAAAATCCTCTGTCTGCCTGCGCGCAGCCCTGTCGCCTCACACTGTTTTTATGTATTCACATGTAAAATCACCCTGTGCTTAATGCTTTCTGTATTTGAGAAACTTGCTGAGAAAATGTGTCACGCATGGTAAGTAGGAGCTTTAAAATATTTAATCAAATATTAATTTGGCTCTGTTAAGGGAACTGATTGCCTGGGTTTTATACTGTGCGCATATGATATGTTGCTCTGGGTCAAAGGGGGTTTTCCAACTCTTCTGGGGGAGGGAATACCCCTCCCTCAGATCCAGCAGCATGTTTCAACACAGTCTTGCACAAAAGAATTTCCTAGGTTTGTGACACTTGTGTTTAAGCCAAATAAAAGTTAATTTGTAAGGCTAGACATCGGCCTTTGGCAGAAAGGAAGAAGGAATGTTCTTGTGTGCGCACAGTCTTTCACCACACAGAATGTAAAGCAGAAAATACTGGAGAAGTTTTGAACCTCAGCGTGTTGAATGTTGAAGTCCAATTACAGGCAGCGTATAAGGTGTATCAGAAGCCTGCAATTTGAGACCGTCTCTGTTTTGTTCATAGGAAATGATTTTTGTGGTTTGCATGCATGCAATCTGAGAGCGCCGTTGACAAGAAGGCTGAGTTTACATAAATGATCTAGATTTGAGACTCAGCTACCTTTCTTCCTTCTGTGGTGTAATTACAGCCCAATCTGGAGACAGCTAGCACAGCAAACAGATTTCATTACATCCCTCACTCAAACACTAAGTGGAGTTATTTCTGTTAAGTTCTCCCCTCCCTCCTTCTCCCCCTGCACTCCTTCCCCTGTCACACAGCTTGTTTGTCATAGACCAGCGTGTTGCATTCCACCCAATGCAAAATATAAATAAAAACTCTGTCCTCTAAAAATACACTGAAAATACACCCTGCATATAATGTACATAATATTCTCTGTAATATAAGCCTATATTAAACCATAACAATTATATTTATCATAAGCAACTGTGAGGCACAATCTGTGGTTAGGAGCAGCAGCCAGAACTCAGGTCTCACTTTGTTCTGGAGAATGGCTTTGACACCAGGCCCCTTCTTGCTTGCACTTTCTTTCTCATGCCTGCCCTGGCATTTCCCGAGACTCTGATGCTTCTGTTGCTGCAGCAGGATGGCTGGAGGCAGAAGGTGAGCACGAGCAGTGTGGATTAGCCAAGGCAGCAGCAGTCACCACCAGCCTTAGCTAACCACTGTTCATTTTCACCTGTGATATTCCCAGAAGTTCTGCTAACGTAAAACATGTGCTTGAAAGAAATACCCAAATTCAGCCGGGGTCCTATTTCAGCTTTTTTTGGCTCTGCTTTTTACATATAGTAGGAGCCATACATCATCTCTTTGTCTTACCTCTATAATCGGTTCCTAATGATTTAGGCCTGCAAGAAGCTTGGGTCTGCTGGAGATATTCTGAGCCATCTCACCTCATTTGTGTGAAATAAATATCAAACATGCTGCAAAACGGTGTACACCTGGTTTATTTTTTCATGAAAGTACATTTTTTTATTTGTACTTTGTATTAATAAAGGGAAATCAGCAAAACAGAATGGCTTTTATTTTGTATCTTTAGCACCAGAATGTTCCAATTGCTCTTAAACTATTCTTCAACCTTAATTTAAAAAAATCCACCTGAATTGCCCCTTGTCAATATTATCAGGTAATCTTGTATTTAATATTTGCCTGTAACTGTTGAGAAATTTTTGTTGTCTTGGTTTCTCCTGGTAAACTACAAGCAAATTATTATACCCCTCTGTCAAACTGGGTCATTGCTGTGTGTTAATATACTCCCCACGCTTTACACGATTTCTGAGCAATGGTGGAACCCTAAGGCTGCTCTGGCTTTACCTCTTTGATTCCCTATCCCCACCTGTCTCCACAAGGAGACTGGGGAAAGAGATGTGGTCTGAGGGATGGCTGATGAAGGTATTGGCACCATTTACTTCAGTTATCCACCTCCTCAACCAGACATACGTTCTAACTGCTCCTCCGAACTCAACCCAAGTACTGTGTTCCTGGACCATTCTGCAGGTGCACAAAATACAGGACAAGGTCCCAACTGCTGAATTCATCTCCTACAAAGAGCACGTCTGCAGTGGCTGGAATGGCTGTTTCATAGTTCTGTGATGGAAAGTCATTCAACTGCCAGCTGAGTGTTTCCAGTTCTGCAATTGTGATAATACTATATAAGAAGGTTGTTTGGGAAATGAGGTACTTGCAAGAATAGAAATGTTGGCTGGAAGGGACTGCTGAAAGTCACCTAGTCAATTCTCCCATTTGAAGTAGACTGTTGCCAACATAAAGTCTGGTCTTGGGAACCACCAGGGTTCCCTGTGCAACCTTTCCCAGCGCTGCTCCACCTTCCTTATGAAGGAGGTTTCCTGATGTCCAGCATGAACATCCCTCACCGTAACTAGTGGCTGTTGCCTCTTATTTATCACCTGCCACTGCCAAGCATGGTTTGGCTCTGTTGTCTCTGCCGTGATTCCCTATCCTGCAACTGTGTGATGCAGTTAAATTGCCCCGTAGCCTCCATAGCGGCCCCAGCTCTGTCAGCCTCTCCATGGCCATGTGTGCTAGGACCTGACTAAATAGAGTAGCTCTCCAGTAGCCTGCATGACTTCTGTATCATCCCTGTTGTGCTGTGAGCCCAAAATAGGCCAGTTCAGGAGCAGAGTCACTGAGAAGGGTAAGGAGGAGAACGAAACTTTACCCTGATGTGCTGGGGTTCTGTATAGCATCCCATATGCTGCTTGTTTTGGATTCATGACCAAAACAGCGTTGCTCATGCACTGATGTTCTAGCTATTGCTCAACTGTGCTCGTGTAGCAGTGGGGCTTTCTCTGCTCCTCACTCTGATGCTCAGTGGCTGGGTTGGTGGTGGGCAGCAGGCTGGGAGGGGGTACTGCCGGCACAGCTGAGATGAACTGAACTGACCACAGGGAGATTCTGCACCATGTAACAACATGCTCAGAAATAAAACCTGGGGATGGGGTGTGGGGATCCAGCTCCAGGGCATCTGCTGCTGCTTGGGGACTGTCTGGGCATCAGTCAGCTGGTGGTGACTGCGTTTGCATCACTTGGGGGTTTTAGTTCTCTTTTTTTCCCCCTTTTACCTATTAAGCTGTTTTTAATTTAACACACAAATTTCCTCACTGTTGCCTGTCTGATTTCTCCCCCATCCCACTGTGTGTGGTGGTGGGTGAGCTGTGAAGTGCTTAGGTACCGCCCAGGGTGAGCCCACCACAGTCCTTTTGGGCACCCAGTGTCAGGTTCAGATAACAAGGTATTTGACCAGAGTATGCCAGAGGGAATTTACTGTACCTGTTCAGCTGCTGCTGATCGTGATGCTGACTTACTCGTTCTTGACCCACTCCGTGTCATGCTCCCTCTCTTGCTGTACATCAAATCTGAGCGCTTGTTAAAGGCAAGGTTTGGCTTTTGCAGTTTGCTGTGCCGTGTAGTATTCCGTTGTGTTTTGCCTCGGAGAATGATGGTGAAAGCACTGGCCCTGAGCCTAATCTGATAGCTGGGCTCTGCATTGCTGCTGTCCCAGTACTTCGGGAACCATCTCGTGGAGACAATTAACAATTACACCTTTTCCTTCTTTTCCTCTGAGAGCCAATTTGTGGAGGAAACAAAGAAAGGCACGTTCCCCTTCATCTCCTGCAGGGTTTTTCACCTTGTTAACAACGACTCTTCAGTATTTTGAACGTCCCTAGGTAATCAGAATGCTCACATGGGTGTGTCTCAAGAATCTGTTTCCAGCTTTTCCTTAGGTTAACTGACTATTTATGAACATCACACAGGGATGTGCCCTGAGGCAGCGTGGAAGGGTGTGTGGGAGAATATGGGCAGGTACCCAGCACAGTTTTCACCTCGGATGGTGTGGGAATTGGCCACCCAAAAACTGCAGGATCCTGGTAAAGTGACACAGCATTTGAGAAAAGGATGCCCTGGCAGTGCTAAAGGGACACACAACTTCTTGTGTTCACGTGCCTACCAAGGGGGGGCAGGGGCAGAGGCAGAGGGTCTGGATCTGACCACATAGAAAGGGGCACTGTGCCTAAGCCAGAGATCCAATACTCATTTCTGGTCACCCCTGTAAGTCAAGAAGAAACGGTGGAAGCAGAAGTTGACTCATTCGGTCTGGGAGGAAGAAGCTGCTCTTAAGAGGGAGCAGGGGGAGGAATCAGAAAGGCATCTGGTTGTGCAGCAGAGCAGCCACAAGAGCAGGAGGGGAAAGAAACAGAAATCATCAGCTCCTCATCTCTGAGTGAGCTGCAAGATATGCATGAGGATCACAGCCATCAACCTAGTGAGCTAAATTATCAACTGGCTGCTCCAATTCTGGGGAGCATTGGAGCCCCAGCACTGGAATGTCACCTGGGGCTGACATTCAGGAATTAGAGGGCAAGGAAGCCCAGCATCTGGCATCCCTCATGAGGGGATGGGGCATCAACAATGGGATTGGAAAAGGAGCAACAATTGGCAGCCTCTGGAGGCAGCTCCTCTTGAGTGTGAAGGAAGGGCATCTCCTTAAGGAAGATATTGTAAGCTGTCGAGCCAAGTGGACAACCACTGGGAGTAGTATCCAGTAGCTGAGGGAATTAGCAGTGATACAGGTCATCTACAGCAGCCTGGACAACAACCAGGTATCTGAAGACCAGTGCATATGTTCAATGGGATGGAAGTTTGTATGGAACACACCATCATCATACACCAATACCTTGGTGCTAATGGGTTGGCCAGACATGGGGGCCCCAACTGTGAGTAGATTGGCCAGCCAGCACCACCAATTTGAACAGAATCTCTCTTCCACCCCACCTCTACAGGCCTGTGTCTCAGCAAGGGAGAGACTGTCCCAGTGGCTCCAGCTGTTGGAAGACAGTATGTCTTCCTCCTCGCCCATATCAGCCATCAAGTAAGCTGTTCACTGCCAAAGGGAAAGGGTACCACAGGCACATCTGCATGCCATGCTGTGGTTCTGTATGCACCACCACAAGCAGCACATGAGGAAGTGATGAGGCGAGCCCATTTGGAAGCTGGGGTATGTGAATTGCGAGGAAAAACAGTGGCCAAAAAGGTTCCATACAGGAAAATCACTGCTCCAGTTGCTGTTAAGCAATTCTCCAGACAGAGTAGAAGGGCTGATACCCCTTCTGACCTTAATATGGAACTTCCAGTTTGCAGTTACAAGAATCAGGTAATGAGTACTCCATCAAGGAAATAAGGGGCCATGCCTCCAGCCAGGTGGAGGAAAGGGACAAGTTTATCAGACTGTGGGTTTGATGGCCTGGCACACCTGATCAGATGGCTGTGCACCTCCTAATGTAACCCAGGGTAGGCCTTGCCTTATTTGCAGTAACAAGCGCACCATATTCAACTTAGTATCCAACTCGATAGAAGTTGCTAAAAGATTGAAAAGCTCTTTTTAATTTAATGGAAACTTGAAGAAAGCATTCTCTGGAGTGGCTGGGGAATGCTTCTTGCCCCAGGCAGTGTTAAAGATGCCAGACCAGCCTCCTCAGGGGTAAACCTGCTGGTGAGATCTCTCCATTGCTTTTTGTTCTGAGAAGATGGTGTTTGTATTTTCATAGACGTAGAAGGCTAACTTAAGCAACTGTGTCATGCTGCAGGTTAATCAAGGAAGTGGCTTCTGGGTCAGACTGCTGGTTGTTGCTACTCTCATCAGCTACTTCAATCCTGCAGGGAAGTGAGGCATCAAACTTTTTTATTCTTTGTAGTCTTCAAAGTACTTTTAGCTGCACAGTGTCTTATCAAAAATAAAGTGAAAGCTTTTCAGTCTCTCAAAGCAGTTCAAAGGGAAGAATATTTCCAGTCCTGGAACTGAGCTGTTCTGACAGTCTTTGCATTAAATTATCTTCTTTTTCGTTTCAGGAACCAATCCTTAAAATGCATTAATTATTTACATAATTAGCATTCACGTGTTTCTCTTTTAGGGTAAGCCTGTTTGTCTACAGCTAAGAGCGAGTAGCCATTAAGCTAAAATTCTGCACCAAACGCCTATAAACTACTCAACAAGATAATGCACAGATCTGGTTCGCTGTAAGTTGTGAAGGGGAGAGAGGGCTACAAACAACTTGGCAATCGATACAGGACAGCTTCATACAACCACCTTTGTCCGCATCTCCAGGCGGTTGCACTCGTGCGTGACTCTGCCCTCAGCTCCCGTTGCTGCCGAATTCACCGCCACCAACATCAGCCAGAGGAACGCGCTGGCTCCCCCACGTGTAGGAGATGCGTTCTCTGCTGTGCGTGAAGTGGACTTGAGTTCTTTCCATTTGCAGAGTGCTTTTGTCACGGTGCATCTCTGGAGGAAAGGCAGCCTTGTTCTCCAAAACAGAAACAGCAACATGACGACTTACTGAGCTGGAACGCAGCATTCTGCAGTGTTCTACCGACTTCATGTGATGATATTGTAAGTCTACCTGCAGCAGAAAAGAGGGATTGTATCACACAAGAATGTTACTCTTGGCTAATAGTGACACACAGGTGTCCGACTGACAGCTCAAACAGTAGTG